AGTTTTGAGTCATCTTCGTACCGGGACTAATAGCGTTTGTGTGGAAATCTACCGATCTCATTCATAGCAGTTGTTTCAACTTGATTGCTGCATAATGCTTTTGTGGAGGTCTTTGGCACAGTTACCGGAAAAAATCATTTAAAGTGTATTTATGTTAATGATACTAATTAATTACTGGTGCGTTTAATTTTTTGTTGTTACACAAATTTTTCTCATCTTTTACTTTATGTGGATCAGTTTCATTTATGTTTTTCAGAAAGGCGCATATAGGCCAAATGTCAACAATCATTTTTTTTGTTATAGCCAGCTGTCAATATCAGTTCTCATTGATTATGATAATTGGAGGTTTAGCTTTCTTGCAAACAAGACGTAGGGAATAATTTATTTCATCAACATAGTAGAAATGGTGACAATGATGGTTAGGTAAGTGAGCAACGACACTCTGCGAGTTAATGCGCCATTGCAGTAATTGCTGTTGCAACAACAGATTTCTCCGTAAATGTGGTCATAAAGTCGATCACGAACGCAGCCTTTTCCTTGCTTCTGAAATTTAACCAACTATACTATTTCAGCTAGGTTTTTATTCAGCTTATTGTCCAACTTTTTATTGATCTACGTAATTGAAACTTCTTTTTACTCTTCTTGATTGTCTATTATGCTAGTGAAATCTAAACTTATGATATTTTAAAACGCTAAGAAGATACTAGACAGTTTTTTAAGAAATCCTTTCTCAGTAAACTAATGGAATGCTCTAGATGGTAGTTAGGTTGGCTTTCTGGTCAAAATATGAATTACCAAAATCAAAGCCGCTTTTTCTGTAGCTACTTTTAGAAAGTTCCAATCTGTAACATCATCATACTTATTCCTCTGAATTTAGTTGGTCTCTTTAGTTAAGATTAGGTTGACTTTTTGTGATAAACCTACCTTCTGCTTAGTATACCCGCCTATTTCTGATATGAAGCATTTGCTAATGACCTGTGCTGAAAACAAGCAAGTTTCGAAGATAAGACCTGTGTCCTGTTCACTGTTATTACTATCGTGAAAAATACATACTTTTTAGTCAGAATAGGCATTTGTAGTGCATGTGTGGACGAATTAACGCACATTGGCAAATTAAATATTTTTTAGTTGTCTGTGAAAGATTAGTAGAAGAACAAACTACTCGCTAATATGTTTTTGGTGCTTTGTTCTTGAACTACGATTTAATAGGCATTTGAACTTTTAAAAAATTTTGAAGCATTTTCTCAATTTCTTCCAATTTAATTTCAGCAAAAGCAAAGTACTCAATTAACTGTCAGGTTTTTTGTTAAAAGAATGCTCAGTACGACTGTTTCCAAACAATTAGGATGGAAGTTTCGAAAAAAGTGGCTTCAGGGCAGGTCAGGAAGGTTCCTTAGAAATGTTAAGGCTGCGAATATTTAGGCACAAAGTAAGGCACTAAGAATTTTCTAGGACTCACAGCTGAATCGTACTTATAATAATCGGTTCATTCATTTCTAATCGATGGTACAACTAAAGGGCTTTACGCGGACAATAAAGACACGGGGTCATCATTACCTCGCAAAAGTGTAAGTCATCGCAGGTTCTGAGAACGTTATGCATACGGGTAGCTTTAACACAATACTGTACAGGACCAAACTGAGCGTTCATACACGTCCCGTATCCAACAGGTTTGTCGCCCAAATGACTTTCACCGTGATAGCATTCTAATGACTGGGCACAGCAGGCCATAGTTGCCAGGAAAGTGATCAGCGTAATGTATTCTGACATTTTAAGATTGCTTGTAATCTGAAAGCAGAGAACAGTCAAGAAACGCAGGACACTGAGTCATCTATTGATAAACATTGCAGATCAACATTATTTGGCTTGAAGAAAAGTGTCTCAAACATGTTGTTGTACTAGAATAAACCTCACCATTGTTCACAAGACATTTTCGGTACTTAACCAAGTTTCGCTTGCCGGTGAAGTACTTTACCAAACACTTTCTCACACCACTGTCTCTGCTCCTTTTTACTAATAGTTATTTTCTGTCGGTTACTTTCTGACACGGTATGCTTGAGAGACACCGGTATTACTTAAAACAATCTTGAAATTTATGGTAACTGTTATTTTTTCAAATTTATCAAGCATAAAAGTAATGAATTTATTCATGTAGGGCCTAAATTTAAAAACTGGAATCTTTGTGGGGGCAAGCCGACTTTAAAATATGCTTAGAACACAAAACACATTTTGTGAAATTGAGTAGTCTTAAAGTTTATGATGGACTACTTCAAAAAGTTTTTTTCTGATGCACAAGTCAATGAAGTTAAAGTACACAGCCAAAATATAATCGTCAAGTAAGAATTATACTTACAGTGGCGTTGTGTTATGAAAAAAAATTTTTTTTTTTTCAAAGTTATTGTATAAAACGTTTTTCTTTACAATGCCATGTAAATCTGTGAATTACTCATTTATGGGTTACGAGGCCAAAGCAAAAAAGTCGAGCTAAATTGCGCAATAATTTTTGATTTCTACATTTGCCTGACCAAGACCATTACCCCTGTTTCTGTTGCTGTTTTTTTTTTTTTTTTTTT